GACTTCGTGTTTGAGGTTTGAGTGAGAAAGACAGTTCAGTCCATGTTTTTCTGCCTTGGTCAGAAGCAGAAGTTAATATCATACCTTTTTACTTTGAAGACTGAGACAAGTTTTCACAGCACATTCCTTCTAGAGAACAAAGTTAGGCTCTGCTATTGGGTGTCCCTAGATGGGAACCCCACTTACCTTTGAGGCTTCAGCTTAGAGGCTACTTCCTTCAGAAATCCCTTTCTGGCACACTACCTTCCTCATGTGGCTTATTTGTTTTCTCTTGCACCAGATCATTCCACAGCTTTTGAGTTTGTATATGGCAACAGTGAACAAGGTATAATCCTTGCTGTAGATAAACTCACCATATTTGTTCTTCTCCATGGAGTGAAAATGTTTTAAGCTCATATAATGACTATGGTTAGGGAAAGAGCCACACAAATAATTAGAATATGTTGTGACAGTGCACAAATAGAAACACACATAATGTGCTTAAGAACATGATAAATGCCGGTTTTACCTTTCCTTCCCTCACCTGACCAAGCTCAGGGGGCGTATGCGGCGTCTTCCTCATCTTTGCTCTTTGGTGCCAGGTATGGGAGAGGTCCATTATGGACAGGTGCCTCATTGAACTGAGCAGATCCATGAATGTCAGGTTGGGAGTGTGGTCGCTGGGGTCAGGCCTTGGTTTACATCCTGGTTCTGCCTCTTAACCACTGTGTGCTTCAACAGGAGAGCGGGAGGTCCTGCTTAGTTTTGTACATGCTAAGTTTGAGATGCCTGCTAGAGATCTGGGGAAGGCATGGTGAAGAAAGCTGAATGTGCAAGCCTGGAGTTCAGGAGGGAGGTGGTGTCCGGGGATGGAAATCTATAGCCAGTAGCAGTTGGTTCTTAGTGTCATGGGACACAGGAGGTCATATAGGAAGCAAATGTGGACAGAGAGTGAAGGGGTTTGAGGATTGGGTCCTGGGCACACCCACATCTGGAGGTGGGGGAGATGATGAAAAGCCAGCAAAGTAAACTGAGACATGATCATTGAAGCAGGAGGATAGCAGGCTAGGGCAGAGACCTGGAAGGAGAGAGAAGAGAGCCTTTCACAAAGAAGGGAGTGACCGACAGTGTCCATGCTTCTGTATGCTTGAGTACAGAGTGTGGGATTCTCCTGAGCATCCTTTGCTCCACTGGGATGGAAGATGGGACCTGATGAGACCGGGGCTAGGGGAATATCCTGAGCCCCACATGTGTTTGTGTCTGTGTGCAGGGAGTGTGGAAGGTAGCTCCTGCTTGGTGAGGTGGAGCTGAGAGCGGTGCCACTTAGCAGCTATCTGTGCTCCTCTGGTACCTGGAGAGAAGGAGCCAGCATTTGCCCATCCTTCCTCCTAAACCCTATCAGTTGTGAATTGGAAAGATGCCCCCGCCCACCACATTTGCTGGAGTTGGCCTAGAGCTGGTAATATCAGGGTTTTACTTTTTAGTTTAATTTCTTGCACAATGCATGGATTTTTATTGAGTTTTGCTAATAAAGAGCTCCATAGGGTATTACTGAACAGGTCTGGTGTGAAGATAAATGAAAACTGTGTACTTGGAAAGACAATGCTGTATTATTTTCAAACCCCCCTGAGAAAAAGGCTTTTTGCACTGGGTAAGCTCTGGATCGAGTCCAGTACAGACACCCTTACAGAAGTGGTATTCCAGGAAACACAAGATGGGTCAAATGATGACAGTTTGTGGGGGGGTGGTGGGGAATGAGTCTTTGAAGAGCTCTAGCCCCTTTCTTTTCCCTCGGTGGCTGCCAGGCAGCTGGTCTCTACCACAAGTGCAGACTGTCACATGGCAAGGCTATTGCAGAGCTGAATAATGGGGCACAGGACTGGAAAAGGTGAAACATTTTTTTCAAAATTCAGCCAATTTTTCTGGAATAAACATTCCTTGTTATGCTGTAAACATGTGTGCTTAATTTCCAGAGTTGTGAAAAAGTTGACTGCAATCTTTTTTGCCAGTTTTCTTTTTGTGTTTACAAAGGATTTTTTTTTTTTTGCCATTTTCTGTGATGTTATTTAACATTGTTCTTTCTAAGCAGTGACTTCTTTTTTTAATAAGGAAACTGTATTTAAAAAAATAAAATACAGTAACCAAAATTAAATAAAATGATCAATTCTTGGCTTTTATATGCCAATTTATTATAACATATATTTACAAACTTGGACACATACACACAAATATTTCTACATATAATATGCATACTTTCTGTCATTTGCTTTCCTTAGCAATATATAGTAGCTATCTTTTGTCATTCTGTAACATATACACTGCCATTTTTAATAGGCACACAATATTCAGATGAAACAGATGCATCGTAATTTAACATATATCCTCTTACTGGATGTTTACGTTGTGTTCAATTTCTTTTATGAAGAAGTCCGGGATGAACATCCTTTTATGTCCTTTTTTTTTTTTTTTTTTTTTTTTTGAGACAGAGTTTTGCTCTTGTTGCCCAGGCTGAAGTGCAATGGTACGATCTTGGCTCACTGCAACCTCTACCTCCCAGGTTCAAGCGATTCTCCTGCCTCAGCCTCCTGAGTAGCTGGGATTACAGGCATGCGCCACCATGCCTGGCTAATTTTTTATATTTTTAGTAGAGACGGGGTTTCTCCATGTTGGTCAGGTTGATCTCAAACTCCCAACCTCAGGTGATCCGCCCGCCTCGGCCTCCCAACATGCTGGGAGTACAGGTGTGAGCCACCGTGCCCGGCCCTTTTATGTACTTTTTGTGTGCTTGTCCCAATCATTTTAGGAGACGACTCCTAGAAGTGGGATTTCCAGATCAAAGGATAGGAGAAAGCAAGTGTGTTTGGGGGCATTTGGGGAGGGTGATGTCTGTCCCACAATCTAGACTGAAAGGTCTTCCTCCATCCCTGCACCTGTTTCTCAGCTTCTACCTCTTGCTCAGTGCTAGGGAGCCTGCTTGGGGAAGACATGCTTATTTAGATTAATTCAATCAATGGGTAGAAGGGTCATTCAAATCCAGGAAAAGTCCTCATTTTAAGGTATGTCTTTTGGAAATTTCCTCTTTTGGCTTTTAAGTAGCAAAACCTGGTAACCTTCTGATACCTGGGTGAGGATCAGTCAGATCAATAAGTTTTTGTTGTGGTCCTACTGTGTGTCCTTGCTGTGTTCATAGAGGCTGGATTAATAAGTCAATGAGAATGACTTGCTCCTAGCACAGATTTCACACAGAGTGAGTTTTCATTTATGTCTAGAAATCTTCAAAGAAGGGAACTTTTTCTCAGTTAAGAACAAATATGATTAAAAGTATGTGATGATAAGCCTGAGACATTTGCAATGGGCTTAGGGACTTGCTTCATCAAAAACTGAAAAGATTAAACCACATTCAGTATGGTTTTATGTTTAAGCATATTATAGTTCTCTGAAAACGGCAGTTCCTTTTTCCTGTATTAGACCCTCTACATTATGAAGGAATCTGTCCCGAGACCTTTGAGAGTTCTGCATTCATGAATGTCACCGTAGAATCCAGTCTCTCTCATAACATGCGGTAAAGGCCAACTGAAAAATGCCTGTGACTCCTCCAGGCTCCTGAGGAGACTATAAATACAAGACTGCAGTCATTTATAAAGCTATTAAAACAAAGTGGGGCCGAAGCCCTTGCTGAAATGATTTTCAGAGTTGTTATTTTCTCTCTAAAACACATGGCAAACAATGGCATGTTAGAAATTCAAGACTTGGCTGAGTTCCACTTTTTGTATCCCAAACTTCTGTGAAACGACCATGTTTTTCAACTGACTTTCTTGCTTTGCGTTCCCATCTGCACACTAGGAGTTGACTTCCTTTTGTGTACCATGTTTCTTAAGAAGTAAAACCTGCCTTCATCTATGGAAGTGACCCTGTTTGGATAATGACTTCAGCCCCCAGGAATTAAATCCTGGCCCAAGAAAACTGCAAAAGCACAAACTGCAAAACTGCAACCTACATTGTATGTGATACTTTGGAGTTACTTGCAGGCAGCAGCACCTGCAGTGGCAGGGCAGGTGGGGACTGTGTTGTTGGGAAAGCTCCATTAACCAGCACCCACATTTCCTAGTACGCTAAGGAATGACTCTCTCTGCCTGTGAAAGAGCTAAACCCCATCTCTACTCCTGAGTAAATATGAACATTCCATTCCCTAATACCTTCCTCTCATGCTGTTAACTTCACTCAGCTGATTTCAGACACACATAGAATAGAACACAAAGGCTGGCCCAGCAGACCTGGAGTCAGCCCACCCTTCGGTTCACGCAGCAGTATTCACCGATGATCCACCGTCTTCACACCCTGTTAGGACGTGGTGGCGGGGGAAAGGCTGTCGCTTAAAGTCTGTGCAGGAGACAGATGATAAGCAAACTGGAAAGACACCAGTTGGTTGGGGGGATTAAGATAAGTGGAGTGGTGGTGATTGGAGGCTCAGGGGGTTTCTGAGAAGCTGGGTCCAGCCCTGGATGGTCCCGGCACAGCCGTGTGGCAGGCAGAGGAAGGAGATGACACGGAGACCCTAAGGTGGGACATCTAGAAACTGAAGGAAGAGCCATGTGGCTGGGGGGACAGCGGACAGGGAGAAAGTGCAGAGACCATGTGGAGCTGGGTGGGGGCAGCGGCCACCATGGGGAAAGTCACTGTGTCATTTTTGGGCCAAACTCAGATATTTTTGAAAGAAAAACTTGACTGCTATTAGTAATCATCTGGGACAGCAGGTGTCAACCTGGACTGTACCTGGAAACCCATGAGTTAGGCGGCTTAGTGGACAGAGATGGTGGCATCACCTTGCCCCTGTGTTGCCCACCGTTCCACTGGAAAGTGCCACAAGCTGGTGAGTGTGTGTCCTCTTGGTTCTAGCCACCATCGCCCTGGTCCGGAGTCCTTCCTCTGGCAGGTGGGCAGCTCCATTGACAAGCCAGCCCTCCATTGAGACCTGTCTCCTTTGTTTCCTTCTCTCCTCTTGCCCTGGATGGGGCTCTTAGGAACACTGCCACGGAAATGCAAGAAGGAGCTCCTGGCCGTGAAGCTAAGGAACCGGCCAAGCAAACAGGAACTGGAAGACCGGAACATTTTCCCCCGAAGGACTGATGAAGAAAGACAGGAGATCCGGCAGCAGATCGAGATGAAGCTCTCCAAGTAAGTGGCAGCGTGCGGGCACAGTCGGGCCTGTGCTCTGGCCTTGCAGGCTGAGCCCCTCTGAGATCCCGCATGCTGGGTGTGCCAGGCCGGGGCGCACAACCCACCGTCTGTAGCAGGTCTCTTGACCCCGCCACCGTTGACGTTAGGGGCCATGTGGGGGCCCTTTCCTGTGGGGGCTGTCCCGTGCACGCTCAGATGTTTAGCATCATTCTTGGCCTCTACACACGACACTTCCTGTGACAACCAAAACTGTCCCTGGACATCATCAAATGCCTCCTGGAGGGTGAACTGCTCCACTGGCCTGTAGGAGCCAGGCAAGGACTGGGCCAAACTGATGAGGACATGGCTTGTCAGTGTTAGAGACCGGGGACGTCTCTGTTCACCTCTATCTGATCATTTTCCTGCAAGAAGGTGGATCCAGTGTTGCCAGATCTTCTAAGTTTGTCAAGTAAAGCTATCTCCCTTCCCCTCCCACCCACACACACGCAGTTATGCAGTCACGTGTCATTTAATGACAGGATACATCCTCAGAAATGCGTCATTAGGAGATTTTGTTGTCGTGGGAACATCACAGAGCGCACTACACAAACCCAGAGGGTGCGGTCTGCTGCACATCTGACTACGTGCTGTAGCTGATGGTTCCGGGGCTCCAAACCCGTACAGCACATGACTCTACTGAATACTGCAGGCAATTCTAGCACATCATCGTATCGAAACATTTCTCACAGAAAACGTACATTAAAATATGACATACAAAATACTAAAAAGTTCCCTCTATATAGAGCCTTGAATTCTTACCATGAATGGAGCTTGCAGGCCTGGAAGTTGCTCTGGGTGAGTCCCGAGTGAGTGGTGAGCCACGGAAAGGCTAGCGCGTGACTGTGCACCACTGCAGACTTCAGAATCACTGCACACTTAGGCTATGCTACATTTATAGAAACATATTTTCTTCAATGATAAGTTAACCTTAGCTTACTGCAACTTTTTACTGGAACAACTTTTAACTTTTGGACTCTTATAACAGCACTTAGCACAAAACACAAATTATATAGCTGCATAAAAATAATTTCTCCTTACCCTTATTCTATAAGCTTTTTATACTTTTCGATTTTATGTTTTACTTTTTAAATGTTTCATTAAAAATTGGGCACGGTGGCTCAAGCCTGTAATCCCAGCACTTTGGGAGGCCGAGACGGGCGGATCACGAGGTCAAGAGATCGAGACCATCCTGGCTAACATGGTGAAACCCCGTCTCTACTAAAAAATACAAAAAATTGCCAGGCGAGGTGGCGGGCGCCTGTAGTCCCAGCTGCTCCGGAGGCTGAGGCAGGAGAATGGTGTAAACCCGGGAGGCGGAGCTTGCAGTGAGCTGAGATCCGGCCACTGCACTCCAGCCTGGGCGACAGAGCGAGACTCCGTCTCAAAAAAAAAAAAAAAATTTAAAACACAAATGCCACATTAGCCTAGGCCTGCACAGGGTCAGAACCATCAATATCACTGTCGTCTTCCTCCTCCACAGCTCGTCCCCCTGAAAGGTCTTCAGGGGCAATAACGTGCATAGGGCTGTCATCTCCTATGAGAACTGTGCCTTCCGGATTCCTTCTGAGGGACCTGCTGGAGGCTGCTTTACAGTTAACTTTTTTTTAATAAGTAGAAGGAGTACACTCTAAAATATTCATTAAAATTATAGTGAATACATAAAGCAGTAACACAGTCACTGAATATCATGATCAAGTGTGATGTACTGCATGGTTACACGCACTAGACTTTTAGAGGACTTGGCAGCGTGGTAGGGTTTTTTACACCAGCATCGCCACAGACATGTTAGGAACGCGTTACCCCAAGGTGTTATATGACAGCACCAATGTCACTAGGCATTAAGAATTTTACAGCTCCATTTTTTCATCTTCTGGGACAACTGTTGTATGTGTGTCGTAGATGTCGTATATCATTGAAATGTCATGAGGTGCATGTCTGCATATATACACATACTTGTCTATCTACATACACATCATTTTCTGGACAATGTGTGCACCAAGTCCACCCATCTGCCATCTGGCTGTGACCCAGAGCCACGGGTGGGCACCTTCTGTGTTGCACCCCTGAAGGGTTCCCTGGGTGGTCCCTGTGGTCTGCTGGGCTGGAGATGGACTGTCTCATGGGGCAGGACAGAGTGGAGCTGCTGCGTCTTGCTGGTTGAGGTCTGTAGGGATCCAGTCATGCCCCTGAGACAGAATGGGGACCTTCTTTTGGAAGGCAAGGCTGCCATGAGCCAGGTGGAGCTGACCTTTGTGGCGTTCCAGGGTTGGGCACCTGCCTAGTTGCTTTCCACATTCCAGAGCCACTGGAGTTCAGAACCCCTCAGAGCTTGCTGCGTACCCCAGTTTGCACCCATTGACACTGCCCAAAGGTGCCAAGAGCCACTGAGCAGGCATCGGTGGGCTTTCAGAGGAAAGTCATTCCATTCTGGCAGAGTGGGCCTCTGTTTCCTCTTTCACCGGGCCAGATGGCAGGCTAACCTGTCCCGTGTGAGGTAGGAGAGGAAATTCTGATAAAGCTCGTGCACACCGTCCCAGCAGCCACAGTCTGCATCTCCTGCCCATCCTTGTGAGGTGTGAGCCGGTCTGTGCAGGGTTGGGCCTGGCAGACAGTACCCTGGACAGCCCCTAGTCCGCTCCTTCCCTCTTTAAACCTCAAAAGCCGACCCTTCCCTGGAGGGAGAGACAGTGCCCCAGGGGTGAGGGGAATCAGTTCTGGGAGCGCCACTGCCTCTGTTGATTTGCTCTTCACCCTTGCTGTCCCCATGCCCCGAGTCACTGGAGACCCTGGGAAAATGTAGGTTCTGATGGTGCGGGTGTAGGGAGGTCTGAGAGTCTGTATTTCTAGCAAGCTTCTGGGGCTGCTGACGCTGCTGGCTGCTGGGCCGCAGGTCACACTTTGAGAAGCGAGGGTCTGCAGCAGGGTCCCCAGCCTGGGAACCCTTGACGTTTGGACCCAGATGGTTCTCCGTGGAGGGGCCGTCCCGTGTGTGCAGTGTGTGAGCAGCATTCCTCCCACCTTCCACTAGATACTCGTAGTACACCCTCCACTTCTGACCACCAAATGTGTCCCAGACACCGCCCAACGTCCCCTGAGGCCAGAGACAACAGAATGGTCCCTGGGTGAGAATCCATGATCTGAAGGTTGGACTCCCGCTCTGGGCAGATTTTCCTCTGAGCAATGGGGCTCTTCATTTCTAGGAAGGGTTGTTTCTGGTCTCCGCTGGGGAGCTTGGGCCCCAATGTTCCCAACTCTCACCAAAATCCTTACTTGAGTGTTTTCACAGTGGAGGGCTGTGAACGTGAGCAGGTGAGGCCGGCCCGGGGCGGGGCTGTGCGTAGAGCACGAGGTCCTTCCCTTCCAGGTGCGGCGGAGTTGTGCTCGGGGCGCCGGTGCAGGCTGCATTTCTACCAGCGGCTGGGAAAGCCGTGCTGCTTGGCCTCTGCACCACGGTGTGGTCATCCCAGGCTTTCATTTCGGCGAGTCTCAGTGATGGGACGTGTGTTCCCAAGGCTTGGTTTTCCGTTTCTCTGAATTCCAGTGAGTTTGAGCATTATTTTCAGCATTTATCAGCTTTTTTGGTTTCTTCTTTGACTTTGCCTGAAGTTTTCTTTTTTTTTTTTTTTTTTTGAGACGGAGTCTCGCTCTGTCACCCAGGCTGGAGTGCAGTGGCACAATCTCGGCTCACTGCAAGCTCCGCTCCGCCTCCCGGGTTCACGCCATTCTCCTGCCTCAGTTTCCCAAGTAGCTGGGACTACAGGCGCACGCCACCACGCCCGGCTAATTTTTTGTGATTTTAGTAGAGACGGGGTTTCACCATGTTAGCCAGGATGGTCTCGAACTCCTGACCTCGTGATCTTAATGATTTTTAGGAGTTTACGTTTGAAGCTGTGGCTTCTAATCCTTCCCCGTTTTGAGTTACATGATTCTTTTCTCTGTTTGGAGCTTGTATTTCAGTTTTAAAATACTTTTCTTTGAGGTACAGAAGTTTTGATTTTTAAGGCTGTCAGATTGCCAATCATAAACTTCAAGAGTTCACAGCCTTTTTCTGTGAAGACCAAGTTGTCAGAATTTTGAGGTTTATGACTCAGGCTGTCTCCACCACCCCTACTCAGTTCGGCCGCTGTGGTAATGAGCAGCTGTAGACAATCTGAGGCTGAAGGGGCACGTCTGTGTGTCAATAAAACTTTATTTACAAAAATAGCCAGCAGTCCATTGGGTCCAACTGGCGCTTTGCTGACCCCTGATGTGCTTTATGGTTCGCACTGTTTGTACCGTGTTTAAAAATCCTTCCCAGCCTGGAGGTCAATAGAATTTTATTCACTTCTGTTATCTGTGGTTGCCTTTACCTGTGCCAGTTAATAATGGTTTTCTATTTGATAATCAAACCAAGTTCTTTCAAATTAAAATATTAAGTGAATTGACCTAAACAAAAAAAAGGTAAGTAATGGATGATAGTACATGTGATTCAAAAACCAACAAAAATTATGGTGGTGCTTGGAATGAGAGAAGCCTGGGGTCCCCACCCCGACTGTGAAGGTGGAGAGGGAGGTTGGGAGAAGGTTGGGCTGCTGGGGATACCCCAAACGCCCCCCTACGTAAGGAGTACCAAAACCATGGGCCCTGTGGCTTGTTTTTACTCCACTACTTACTGAATCTGGAACGAATTTGAAACCTTGGACTGGAATGTAGTAGCTCCCTGGATACTTGTCACCATGTTTAAAAACCCGGAATTAGACACAGAGAAAACAGCAGCAGAGGAGTTGCCTCCCAGGAGGTCAGACACGGCTTCCTGGAGGCTCCGTTTGTTTTCCCTACAGCAGTGGCTTAATTGGTCTCCTTTGTCTCTGCTCTGCCTCCTTTCAGAGATTCCTCCACCGTCTCTTGCTAAGTAATTCAGCCTCTGGTTGCCATGGCAACGTGCCGTCTACTGTATCCCAAAGAACATTTGCCATTTC